TAACAAATTCTTTCCAGGGCCATACAAGCTTCACTTCAATGAACTTGTTATCTATAAATAATGGAAACTAATACACAATTTTTAATTTAACACACAATTTCACTTTAACATGTGTATATATATATATATATATATATATATATATATATATATATATATATATATATATATATATATATATATATATATATATATATATATATATATATATATATATATATATATATTATATATATATATATATATATATATATATATATATACATATATGTATACTTAAATTTAGAAAAAAACAACTTTTAATGGAACTTAAAGTTTCATGCCTATTGACAATCATCAGCCATGAAGTTCAAAATCAAAAATATAAAAAACCATTCAAAAATTACAAACTGTAATTTTTAAAATGTTGAGAATGTTACGTTTCAAAACTTGAATGACGGTTTTTTATTTGTTTCATTTGATGGGCATTTTTGTTCCTAAAAACAGTTAACCCGTCATCTCAATATTAACCAAAATCATTTTTGTTGTTAAACTGCAAAAGTTAATCTAAAAGAAAAATCCTAACTAGTTCACAAACTTCCACGACATCATAGGCTCCCATGGTAACATTAAACAATCCTGCTTTCTTTTTAATCCACCATTAAAAATGAAAGAATACAATCCTGCATCAAAAATTTGTAAGCTTTGTTTAAACAAGAAATTCAAAATATTATTTTACAAAATAGACTGCTAAACAAGAGGCAAATTAGTTTCTAAATGTAGACACAAAAATAAATTTTTTGTGGTAATAAGTCCTTTTTTTTTCCCCATAACTAAAATAAAATATCACATTTCAGTACTAAAGTTAAGAATTTGCTTTGGTACTCATAACTTTAAAAATATCAAATCAAAAAATTTTTACTTTAAAATAAAAAGAAATAGTTAAGAAACAATATCAAAAAATATAAAAAACGGTTTTTTATATTTTTGATTTTGTTAATAAATTATAGAAAAACTTTTTCTACAAGTACTTTTTAAAAGTTCTTCTATAATTTATTAACATAATTATGTAGAAAAAAAAACAAATGATCAAAAATGAACAAAAAAATGATCACTTCTTCAACTATTACTTTGCCTAAATAATAACTAGCCTATACTAAATGATAATCAGCCTATCTTTTTATCAATATATGATAATAACTTTTGGCTTACAAAGCAAAAATAAGATCTTTAATATACTAACCTTTAGTAAACCGTATTCCATCAGTAATATAACCTTCCCTAGAACGAACTGTTAACACACTAAGAAAAGAAAACAACAAAAAATTATTAATTCAAACTCAAAAAAAATTCAAAATCATTGTTTTAAAAGGTTAAAGTAAATATTTTTGTTAAATTTTATTATAAAAAGAAAAATCCTGCCTTGATATTTTTGTTTGAAGTTCAAATTCTTTATATCGAATGGTTTGCTGCGTCTGAGGTGACAACATTGCTTTAGATTCCTTGGTTAAAAAAATAAATTCTTGATTCCATGAATCTATTTTATATCTATCAATATCTCTTTGAAAATTCCAACAAAACAAAGCCTTGTGGTATATGTTCATCTCTGAATCTTAAATACAATAGTTTATTTACAGGTAATTATTATGCCTTTATTAACGAGTGACAACTGAAAAACAAGACTGTATTTATAAACACATAACTCCTTTGAGGTAAAAGTTAAAACAAAAAGGAAAAATGTTTTAGAAAATATTATTCTAGCTTTTATTTAATCAGTTATTTTCTACAAAACTTTTTTCCATTATTTCTTCTTCATTTTCATTTTCATTTCCATTATTTCTTCTTCATTAATGAATGGCAATCCTCTTACTGAGTCGTCCTCTTTACGTCTTCTTGGATTATCGCTTACTACTGACCTTTCATGGAAACCATATATACAATCGATTGCTAAATTAGCTTCTGCTAAGGTTGCTTCTCTTTATCGTGCTCGCCATTTCCTTACTTCTGATTCCATTCTCTACCTCTACAAATCTCTTATTCGTCCCTGTATGGAATACTGTTGTCATATTTGGGCTGGTTCTTCTAACGATTCACTTTCTCTTCTTGACAAGGTCCAAAAACGCATTGTAAATGTTGTTGGACCTGGACTATCTGCTAAGCTTGAACCTCTTTCCCATCGTCGTAAAGTTGCATCTCTTTCTCTTTTCTACAGATACTATCATGGTCACTGCTCAAAGGAGTTATCATCTCTAGTTCCATCAACTAAAATTCATTCTCGTTTTACTTGTCATTCAGCTAAGTCTCATTCGTTTACTGTATCTGTCCCAGCATGCTCTAAAAACTTTTATTCATCTAGTTTTTTTCCCCGCACTTCAATCCTTTGGAACTCTCTCCCATCTTCATGTTTTCCTGACTCCTACAACCTTCAACTTTTCAAGTCTTCTGTCTACCGTTTCCTTGCTCTATAACTCTGTTCTTTTTTTTCCTAGTAACTCCCAACTTAATAGTGGTTGCTTGCAGCCTTGTTTGGAGTGAATGCAAATAAAAAAAAAAAAAAAAAAAAAAAAAAAAAATTCTTCTGACTTTGTAAAACATTTTTCCCCTTGTTTTACTTTATACCTTGAAGGAGTTGTGTGTTTTTAAGTTTAATATTGCTCTAAAGGTTTCAATTGTTATTTCAAATTATTTGATTGAAATTTTCACTATTTTTTACTTACTATTGGTTTTTCGAACAGGAGGACACTTTATAAGATATGCTCCTGATGTTGCAGTTGCAATAAACTGCATGAGAGTGCAATGAGGTACATAACCATACCTAAAATTTAGAGAGAAAAACAACATAAAATATTTTTTAGACAATATATTATACCAAATCATGTTATCAAATGTAACACAACATATAACATAACACAGAGTCTGAAATAAATCAATACAATGTATGCAGACACAAACAACCAACCAAAGTTTGACTAGATTTAGGTTGATTTGTATTTGAACTAAAAGACTTAAGGCAATTTTGATTTCTTTATTTTTTGCTTTCACGCTTATTTACTCCCACCAGGGCCTCGCCTCAACTATCTTTAAGTTACAAAAAACATACTCAAATAATTATTTTGTGACTATTTTGTATTCACAAAATTTGAAAACAGCCTGTCTAAATAAGTTACAATATAAGATTGTCTTGCAGATCATGTATTCCATTGTATATATACTATTATACAAATATTTACATAATTAGCAAAGTGCACACATAATTATAGTTGTAATCATGTATACACAAAATTTGACTTGAGAGTAAAATAGAATAAATAACTTGTATTCATAGTGATATTTAGCTTAACAGTTACAATTTTACATTTAAACAATTTCATATTACATAAATTGTATATATTAGACAATCTAATTAAACATCAGTGGAAAACAATTAAGTCCCTCAAGCTGGTTGGTAAAGCGTGAATCATTTTAAACCCACAAAAATTTCCATTTGCTTAAAGAGTAGTGAATTTTGCAGGTTTCAGAATATCTGACTGGAGAGTTAGACCACTGTCTAAATACATTAATGCAGTCAATCATTTTCATAGATACCATCTTCAATAACAGACATTTAATGATTGTTTAACTTTGTGATATGTTGTGTATGTGATATGTGATTGTGACATCTTTTTCGTGTCAATAATATCACAAAATTTATTAATATTATCAAAAACACAAAACTACAAACAAAAAAATTTACAAGAAAAATTAATTATGCATATGCTACAGATGATGTAGTATGCGCTGTTAAGGATGTAAAGATTACAGACCTATTGGATCAGCTTGTGGAATTATTTGTAGAATTTTAACTAAAGATAATTATATATCTTTATTTGTAACTATTTGTATTTATAAAATCTGTAGTAGATTATTTGCTAAAATTTATTTTTTAGGAGTGGTAAAATTTAAAAGTTTTCCATTAATACATCTGAAAAGTTCTTTAAACCCTGCAGTAGGTTACAACAAATTCATTTGAGTTTGACAAGCTTTTATGAATGTTTTTAACACTATTAATAGAGTTAAAAAACATTTGAGGTTAAAAAAAAAAACTTAAATTTTAGACATAAAAAAAGATAATGGTTTAATAAACTTTTCTAAAAGATGAAGACATAACTGTTGTCAAACATCGTTTATAGGTTTTGTATAAATATATAACTTTTAAATAGAATTTCCGTTTTTGTTTAAAAAGTTATTGATAAATAAATAAAATCAATGATTTCAAACTAATTAGAAACATTTTTGTATTTTACTGAATGAAAGTAAATTCATTTTGGAAACTTTCAAGTTTACATTACTTTTTACAACTTCATCAGATTTAATTTAAGTGCATTCAAGAAAACTTTAAAAATGGCAAACAATTAATTCAAATAATATCAGTTCTTCTAAAGGAGTTTTAACTAGGATTGGTAAAAACTTTCTTAGAGTCTTGTAACAAAGAAATTAATTAAAAAATTAATCAAAATTTATGAGCATAAAAAGTTTGGACCCCTCAATTTGAGGAGGTTACAAATTGTGTATGGTCATTATTTTTGAATGTAAAGAGATAATTGTATGAAATTTAAAATTTATTGATGAATATAAATTAATTAAGAATCGTAAAAAAATATTTTATCAACTTGTTGCTCTGTGTGTAACTTTTTGCTTTTTTACTTCTTAAGTTTTATTAAAGTCAACAATTATGGTAGTCAGCTCATGGCTGCTTTCCAGATATAACTATCACTTTTCAACATGGCATCAAGATATCAGATCAAAATCTTTAACATCTATAACACCGTCAGTACATAAAAAACATCAAGAATATATATGGCTAAACTTCAGATTTCTAGCTTACATAGTTTTCTTCAGGAAAAAATAAATTTCATTATTTTAACATCAAAATTTTGCGTTGGTGCTCATATTACCCGATTCAACCTTATACTATACACGATTGTTCTAAATACAAATAAATAACTCAACATATGCTAAAGACATTTGAAGATCTTTGTACATAACGCTATACAATATATTTTTTATATTTGCATATAACATATTTGTTTATTTGTATATTATGTTATATTAGATGCTATGCAACAAAGCTGCGCCTATTTAGAGAATTCGCTTGAAAAATGTTGATTAATTGCAATCGGTGTAAGAGTTTATAAAATAGTTTAGTTTTAAATTACATGCATAAATTTGATAGATCAGTGGTTTAATGCGCTGTCATCGGTGTCATTTTGCACCTTTTAACACTTTATTTTTTAATCTGGTCATATATATTTATAGTAAAAAAAAACTAATATATAGCAAAAAAGTTTTAATTGTTAAAATAAATTTTTTTCTAGCTGTAGGCTTTTTTTTTTTTTTGCCTTTCTTTTTCTTTATTATGTTTCAGACCATCCGTAGCTTATTAAGAATAATTACTTGAGCACATTTAATGTGCTCAAGTATTTATTCCTAATAAGCTACGGATGGTCTGAAACATCAAATAAAACCATCAAACAAACCTATTTTATGATAGAGATACTTATGTTATTAATGTCATTAATAACATAAGAATCTCTATCATAAAATAGGTTTGTTTGATGGTTTTAGAAACTTTAAGCTTTTTTAAAAATTCTCTCTCTTCATTTGTTACAGTATCTAATATCTTTACATATATTATGTAAATAATACCTATACGACTTCAAAAGAGTTCTATTTTGTGTTTTAAAAAAATCAAAAAAGATTTAAAAAAAAAAAGGGTCCAATGATAGAATTCGAACCACAGTACTTTGCTTCAAAAACTCAGTGAGCTAACCACTCAACCACACTGACTGTCTGTTGAAAATTTTAAAAGTATTTAAGAAATAAAAGACTTTATAAAACAAAAATAAATGCTTTAAATCAAAATTAAGGAGATGTTGCTGCAATGCAATTTTCAAGTGAAAGTAAAACTGTAAAACTTGATATATGTTTTAATATGTTTTAATATTACATAATTTGAAAATATTTGCTTTTTAGATATATGCATACACTTTTGCTCACATTTTTTTATTAAAATGGAAGCCAAGGGTTCCATGTCAAACACGCTTAATAAGGCACTACTACTACTATTAGGTTAAGCATTATTTTAAAGATATATATATATATATATATATATATATATATATATATATATATATATATATATATATATATATATATATATATATATATATATATATATATACAAACATTTATATGTATATGTATGCAAAAATCTTCCTGCACTTAGCTGAGCAAAAAAGTTTATAGATAACATCATACTGTAATACCCATCAGTAGGGACTTCAGTACATACATCAACTGAGGTTTTGGGCATATATATTTTATATATATAACATCAAAAATATTTTTATTCATGACTCTTATTTTCTTTTTTGTTATCTGCATTAACCTTGATATTTTTAATATTAAAGTGTGCAAAGTATCTTTAAATGATGACAATCTAAAAAAGCAGAACTAATATCATGAAGTATATAAAGTATAACTAATATCATGAAGTTTACAGTAACCTAGGTTAAGTTGTCTGCCATAACCAAGAAGAGGTTTTGCAGAAAGGTTTTACCTTTAATAATCAGGTAACAATTCTTTACTTGTTTGGATAAAAACAACTTGTGAATGTTTTTTAAATGTTTTTTAAATAAACTCACCCAACAGCAGCAGATTTGTAGCCACTTCCAACTTGGATAAATGAACAAACAGCTGCTGAATTACGAACTTGTGAAAGTAGAGCCTCTGCAACATGAGAATTTTCCATGTTGAAAACTCCATCTGTGATGACAACAATAGCTAGAAATCAAAATTACACAGATATACAGAGAGCTTTCTAATTGATCAACTCAAAATATATGAAACCATGCTATATATGGTTATTTTACAATGTTATGATAACAATAATGGCAAAAAAAAAAAATCTTTGCAAGTTTTTGTTAGAATTTATGCTGTTTTTGTTGTCCATAAACCTGTTTTTGAGTTTACTCTCTCAATAAATAGTGAAAAGTTAGACATATTACTTAAACAGATTTGTGTTACATATAAGTTGTTGTACAATACTATTTAATTTAAAAGTCATTTAACATTAAAAAAAGTTTTCATCACAGATTATGGCTTAATTTTTGCCTTGAATCTCTTCTTTTAACTTATATATTTAATTTATTTAAGAATCTAGATTAGGGTTTTGTTTATTGCTTTTTGATTTTAATCCTGTAGCATTCAGTGCATAAAGTTTTGCCACAAACAACAGAAAAATCCTTTGAAACCAGATTAAATCTTGCAATTATTGAAGTTTACACATTTATCTGTCAAACTTTTTATCTTAACAACTTGCTAAACTAAAAAGTTGGCAATTGATTAAGATTAGTTGTCCTGTGTTCCTTCTTGTAGTCATCTTTCTACTATAAGCTCACTTAAAATGCTTACAAACTAATACAAAAATCAACTGACAATTTAATTATCAAAAGAAATGTCTTGTTTATCTGATTTTATTAAACCCACAAAAATTGTATATCACTTTGACAATTTGAATATCAAAAGAAATTATAATTGTTAACACAAAAGTTAAAAAAAAAAAAATGAAACTTATGATCATTCTTTAAAAAAAAAATAATAAATAGATGAAAACTTAAATAATGAAAATTGTATTTGCTTTTAATAAAAAAAGTCAATAAATAATATAATAATAAATATACTATATTTATTGTTATAGTTACATAATTACAATAATTATTATCATTTTGCTGTTGTTACTATTGTTTTTTTAATACATTTTTATTTGCATTTATTAAATAAGTCCTAAATGTCACTAAAACATAGAAATCTTAAAACATGTCTTCTTTGCATTTCAATGTATTAAAACGTGTCTTCTTTCCATTTCAATGTATTATGCATTAAAATTTATCTAAAATGTTTAAAAAACAATAATTCATACTCTAATTGAGTCTTACAGTTAATCAAATTTTTTTTAAAAGATTGTAGATGATGGTATATAATTATTAATTAAATAATTAAATAAAATTAGATAATAGTATATGATTGTTAATATAATAATTAAATAAAATTAGATAATGGTATATAATTAAACATTTTTGGGATTTTGAGTGTCCATTTTAGTTCCAAAAATTTACAATTCAATATTTTTAAATAAAATTAAAAATGGATTTTATTGTAATTTCTAAAAATGGCATTTTTAGAAATGCCATTTTTAGAAATTACAAAAAAAAAAAAAAAACTATGAAATATTAAAGTATGAAATATTAAAATATTAAAATATTAAATTTCAAAGTTCAATGACTTGTCACGTTACCACAGTTAATGTAGGCCATTTTAGTAACACAACCATCAGATCTTGACATACATTTATGCTATATACATTTATATATTGTAAAAATAAACAAACCTGCACTTGCATTGTCTGGAAGAAGTTGGAGGGCCAGTAACCCATCACGAATAATATAAAACAAGCCTGTTTCATTAGATTTTGATTGCTCTACTCCACTTGCATGCTTTTCCCCAACCTAAAACACAATATCAAAACTTAAGATCTCAAACAAAATTAAAAAAAAACACCTGAAAATACTTATAACTCAAAACTTAAAAGATAATCTTTTAGTTAATAAAATAATATTTAAGTTCTTAGGGATTGTCCATTAATAACGCAACACAAATTATATTTAAAAAACAGAAGTAGGAGATATTAAGCTCTTTTACGCTGTGATCTTCATTAAACTTAAAGAGCTACTTTGACTTTTTATTTAAATTAAGACTCTGCGAGGGAAAACTTTTGATCTTTTTTGTTTTGTTTATTAAGAAAGTTTGCCTTACGTAATTTATGGATGATCCCTTATATATACAGTAAATTCCATAAAACCTGAACCTCTAAGGAACAAATAAACACTTTAATGGTTGAAAATGGTTTGATTTTAATGTTTTTTATGAGAAATTTGGTTCAACACATATTTGAAAATGTCTTAAGTTACTGGAATTTTAAACTCCCAACAAAGAGAAATAAGCAAGTAGTAATAAGCAAACAACCACTATTAAGTTAGGAGTTGCTAAAAAACAAAGAATAGTGCTAAAGCGGGACAAAACAGTTGGCAAAAGAATTAAAAAGTTGGAGATGAAGATTAAAGAGAGTTCTGATCAAGCAATCGAAAAGACTTTTTTTCAAGAAAGGAGCAAACACAAGTTAAATTGTCAGCAAATAGAACCATTTTAGATATAAGTTGTTGAAAAGATCATTTATGTAAATAATACAGAAATACAGGACCAAATATATATATATATATATATATATATATATATATATATATATATATATATATATATATATATATATATATATATATATATATATATATATATATATATATATATATATATATATATATATTTAAATATACATACATATATTTAAATATATATATATATACATATATTTAAATATATATACATATACATATATACATATATATATATATATATATATATATATATGTATATATACATATATACATATATATATATATATATATATATATATATATATATATATATATATATATAATTTATATATGTATATATATATATACATATATATATATATATACATATATATATACATATATATATATATATATATATATATATATATATATATATATATATATATATATATATATATATATATATATATATATATATATATATATATATATATATATATATATATATATATATATATATATGGTTAGAATTCAATAAATATGGCTGCGTATAAACTTTTTTTTAAATATATATATTTTTTCTTTAATACATAATTATTTCGATATTTCGCTGATCTATTGTGATCAGCGTCATCAGGTATAATAAATAAAATAGTTACAAAAATCGTTATAGTAAAAACAAAGCGTTAAAAAGATAACATTAAAAAGCCATAATATAATACAGAAAAAACTTTTTCAAATAACTGACGTCAGCAGATTTTATTAAA